TGTGGTTTCTGGAAAACAGACTAAGAGGCTGTTGTGTTTGCTGCACTTCCGCTTTCTTTGGATGGTTTTGTGCTGTATGATCAGAACCCATGACTCCATCTAGCAATCATGCTTGACATTATGAACTGGAAAACACATACAGACAACCCTCAGGTCATATGCAACTGGAGGAAGGGAATCATTTGACTCAATGCTTTCTGACGGCTGAGCTATGCTTAAACATTGGGAGCCTTCACATAATCAAAACTGCATCTGGACATTTTGGATGCTCATTAGCAGATTCTTGGTAGCTTCTGTCTTCTTGACATGATTTGTTATTTCTAAGTCACCCGCATGCTTATCGTTGACTCCTGGGGTTCATCAGCTTGAAATGGCTTTTCCTTCTCACCCAGAAGTATGTTTCCATTTCTGTGTTTCCAAGAAATGTGGAAATACATAGGAAACACTAAAAGCCTTCATACTTCAAGGAAATGATAAAAATAATTTCCTCTGTGAGACTGATACCTATGTTTGTTGACCTGCCTCATGTGTGAGCAAAATCATGTTGGTTTAGAGAAAGAAAACGCTCCTGCTGCAGTTGCTAATGTGCCTGTCTCTCCTCCTACCATCTCAGCTGCCATCACATCTCTGACCTATCCCATTACAGATCCATTCTGAAAGTGCTTCAGTCAGGCCATCCTGACAACACCAAGCCGGAAACACCACCAGCTTCAGGTCATCTGTCCCATGTGCAACACTGTCCTTTACTCAACTGATGAGAACAATGGCTCTTGGGAAGATCTGAGAGCTCTGTGTGTCCTATTTAACCCATCATCATTTTTGAGGTCTTTATCTTTTTATTTTCTCAGAAGGACTTTTATATGAAAACAGTATGTAATCATGAAAATAATATATTTGGTTAGTCAAATTAATGTATTACCAGCAATTCTGTACCGTAAAGAAACAGAATAAGATTCTGGAGAGCAGAGACTATAGCATACAGTCTGCTGTACATATGTGTGAATGTGTGTGTATCCCCAGAAATGGCATTAGATACAAGCTGTGGAAACTGTGACTAACTGATGGGGTCTGAGATTTTGTTAATTCCATATTTACTTGTATAACTTCACCCACATTCCCCCTTAGTTTCATGAGTATATGGGTCCCTGTTCTCCACTGCTTTCAGAAATCACTCTCTGGGGATTTTCTGACTCACTAAACAACAGTGGTTTAATAAACTACTGCAGCAACCAGTGGCAATGTTAATTAGAACTGGGATCTCCTGACAAGTTTTCTTTACTTCAGCAATTCCTCCTTTCCTCAACAGGGCTGTTAAGAACAGCCATTCCATGGAGCTAAACTACTTTGGGTAAAGCAATAGTTTATGGGAATGTGTGTGTGTGGAAACACCTATGGCTGTAGGTGTATATATGTGAGTGTGTGCCCGTTAGGGGCACTTCAAAGTACCAGAGAAAGAACACTGATGCTAAAGAGAGAAATGTGTACATAGAACATGCTTCCTCCCCATGTGAGATATGGTGTCACTGATAACTATGCAACTGAGGAAGGAGGATTGTGGATTATCATTCTAGCATTTCTTGCAAAGCATTAGTGGCCCAACGACTCAACAACCTGAAGAAAGTAATGAAGTGTGCAGAAGGAGGGACAGTTAGTATTGGCTTGTTTTCTTCTCTTTCAAAACAGCAAGTCCAGAATGTCCTTCTCATGCAGCTACTTTCCTGTTATGGACCCAGGCCCTCTCTGTGGGAAGGTAAGCTTCAGGTGGTGGCTAGCTTGCTTAAAACATTGAGGGGGTGAATGGGATGTGGTTTCTCTGCAAGCCTTCACCGATGGAACTATGGTGCTTTTCAGCACATATCTGGCACATTTAAACTCTTGCTGTTCCAAAAAAAGTAAAGCATAAAATACATAAGAGACACCTTTTCCGCTTTTGCATTTGTTTTGCAAAAAACAAACAAAGAAAAAGAGTGGAAGGGAAGACTAAACTCTTGTATGGAAAGTAGCAATTTTTGAATCACACTTTCACATGCAGAACCCGGAGGAGTGCTGCCACTAAATTTGTGTCTTTGCATGTGCTTCCTCATTGTGTTTGTTTGTTCTTGAGCAATGGTCTCATTTGTGTAGGAGTGGTTGGCCCAGAACTTGCAATGTAGGCCAGTCTGGCATTCAACTAACAGAGATGTCACCTGTCTCTGTCTCCCAAGTGCTGGGATTAAATGCATGTGCCACCATCTTCTATATTTTGTAATTTTTAAATTATGAAACTAATTTTTGACAAAGCCCCTTTTTCTACTATATATGTATGTTTCAGAATCCACAATAGAGGGCATCAGGGATCAAAAATACATTTGCATTCCCTATGATCACTAGATAATTTCCTGCGCTGTCATAAGACTCAGAAGAACAGGCTTAGAAGGATGCAAACCAAAGTAGATGTTTCGGGAGCCTGAGGTAGAAGAACAAGGAAAATTGGTACAAAATTTGCTTAAGCTCTGATCTTATTAGGAAGGCATGTCAGAGTGTTAAAGAGCATAAGGCATGTGTTTGCCAGTCTCTGTGCAACTTGCTGTTGAGAGTGTAAGCATTCACCGTAGAATTCTTTTGTTTCCTCTCACAGCCTGGGTTGCTTAAAGCGCTAACTTACAGACGCCCTGGATCCTAACTCAATTTCCTTCTCTTTCATGTCTCTTCTCTTCCTCATGTGTTATGGCTCACACAGTCTATGCTTGAAACAGTTCCTCAGGCCTCTAGTCCAGGACTGAAGTTCTGCTTAATCTCATTAGAGATAACCCGTTATCTCTACTAGATGTAAACTCTCTCCTTTACTGAGGGGAGAAAGGTTCTTGCTCCCTTAGGGAAGGCCCTTTCCAGTCCGGAGTTGGTCTCAAAAGTTGTCTTCCCAGTTGTAACCAATTAGATGAAAATGAGAAAGTCTCCTGGGGCATAATGTCCCAAACTTCAGTTTTTAGCCCACGGCTATGAAAAAAAAATATTATTAAGGAAAGCAGAGCAGAATACTGAGTGGGATAGACATGAGGATGCCATCATGAGGAAATGATGGCATCCAGGAACATATGTAGAGACCTGTAGAGACGCATCTCCAGTCTCAGGGCCAAAGGCACTAGTGAAGCCCAATGTTCTATGGTAGAAGCATTTCCAGTGAATACATAGGGTCCTTTAGATGCTCATCTACAGTAGTAGATACGCTAAACTAATTTTTTTTTTTCTTTTGCATCCTGAAGATTTTCAGCTTTCATCAGAAAGTATGCCGTTTTCTCTCCCCTCATTCTGGTGAGCCCCTAGAAATTACTGTCTTATCTACCATAACACACAATTCTTCCTTCCAAAGTCAGAGTCTCCCATGAAGAATTAACTGATTTATATTTCACATTTAATTTATATATCAACTTGACTGAGCTAAGGGATCTACACATAATTGGTAAAGTTGTTTTTGAGTGTATCTGTAAGGAAGTTTCTGCAAGGGATGAATCTTTGAATCAGAGAAAATCACCCTCAAAATGTGAGTAAGCTCCATGCCATCCAGGGAAGGTCTAAAAAGAGAAGGACAGATCCCAGATCCCTTCTTTTTTCCTTGAGCTGGGGTATCCATCCTTTCCTAGCTTTGGACATTACAGATTTTTTTTTTTTAAACCTCTGGGCTCAGACTGTGGTTTGTACCATCGACACCGTGTTTGAACCGCAACTACTCCATGGCCTCTTTTTTTTTTTTTTTTTTTTTGACAGAATGAATAGGTAGTCCAAACTTCACTTCTAGTTGTTATTTCAGCGTGCCTTGACACAAGCAAATTTAAGGGGAAAGAGTTTATTTTAGCTCACAGTGCCAGGTTAGCAGGGACTCAAAGTGACTAGTGATATCCACAATCAAGAGAGAATGAATGCATGCGTGCTGTCTGCCTGGCTCACTGATCTACTCCTAAACGGCTCAGGGCTCAAATCAAGAGAAAGGGTTACTCACAGAAGTCTGAGTTCTCCCACACCAACCAATAGAGTCTGCTGAATGTGTAGGAGTTTTCTCCTGCCAATTTTCAACTTGTGATTTACGATGAGTTCCTCACAGTGTACAGGGGATGGCTTCACCATCAAGCTTTATAGTATTCTCAATCTGGAAAGCCATGGCTAGGTCTTGTCCTAGAAACCTCCCTCCCCAAGGACAAAGATCATAGACCCTCCAATGTTTTAACATAGCTATGTCAGGGAGTATATGGTTTAAATGTGTGTAAATTGCTTTTCTAGATGAGTATCAAATTCGAAAACAATATTAAAGGGCTGGCCTTTTCTTAAGAGCCCTAGTACTCTTCTGGAACAGAAATCTGGAAACTACAGGATCTTCCTTGATTATTCACTGTTTATTTTGATCGACAGCACTCTGTGAGTCCAACGTGTAGATGAATCATATCAAAGCAAACATATGCCCCTTTAAAAATGATGTTTAATAATACTTATGTGTTCCCCATGCAGGATTATATTGCACATTTTAATCTCAAGATGTGAAATTGAAACGTACATTCATGTTCTTTTTGAATTTGAGAATCCATGCCATGTCGCATGCCTCTGCGACTAGAAACTGTGATGAGACACTGTTTCTCTTCCTTGTGCCATCAGATCATTGTTGCTATAATTCAATTCTGTCCTCAGATGTACGTCTCTTCAAATTCTACCAGTTTCCATTAAAAAAAAAAAGACCACAAGCAACAAATTGAAAATTTTTCATAAATGGAAGTGGCTTGAGTTAAGTAGTCATTTTGAAAGGCAGTAGAAAGGTTTTCCAAGTGTAGACTACTGATGGCAGAGCTTCAAGAAGCTTCCCTTCAGCAGCCATATCTACGAGAGTAGCTGTACAATGGCATACAGCATGGGACTATTCCTTCATGTATGTTTTGGGGTGAGGGTCTGAATGGAGGCAGACTGATCTGGGGTGATGATTCCCTAAGTAATGAGCAGACTTACAAAGCCATATGGAAAAACAGGGTCCTGCTTACCTGAACTGTGGTTTCCGGCCAACAAGGTGGGGCTCACAGAGCATCTGCCCATTCTGCTGGTGACCACTGGCGGACCCGGTGTTCCATCCCATTCTTGAGCTTTCACTGGCTCTCTGGAGGAAGACGCTCCATGATGACCTCGCTCTTTGCCGTCCAACTTTGGTAATGGCTCCGTGCTGTGACTTCGAACTTTTAGCTCCTCCGTGGATTCTGTGTATTAATAAAATTACTTGTGATTTAAGAATTAAATCACCTATGTTGTATGTCTATATGAGTGAGTATATACCGTGTGTGTCTTTTTGCTTCTGGGACAACTCACTCAGGATGATCCTTTCCAGGTCCCACCATTTACCTGCAAATTTCATGATTTCCTTATTTTTCATTGCTGAGTAATATTCCATTGTATAGATGTACCACAATTTCTGCATCCATTCTTCAGTTGAGGGGAGTCTGGGTTGTTTCCAGCTTCTGGCTATTACAAATAAAGCTGCTACAAACATGGTTGAGCAAATGTCCTTTTTGTGTACTTAAGTCTCTTTTTTGGCCTACTCTTTGATTACCTCCCCCTGAGGGGGGAGCAGCCTTACCAGGCCACAGAAGAGGACAATGCAGCCACTTTTGATGAGAACTGATAGACTAAGATCAGAAAGGAGAGGAGAATCTCCCCTATCAGTAGACTTGGGGAGGGGCATGCATGTAGAAAGTGGAGGGAGGGTGGGGTCCTGAGGGGAGGAGGGAGGAGCTTATGGGGGGATACAAAATGAATAAAGTGTAATTAATAAAAAATAAAAAAGTTAAAAAAAAAGAATTAAATCACCCCTAAACTAAGTTCAGAAACATGGGATGTCTTACAAGTCTAAAGTACTTGTAAGATATTGTTGAAAACAGGGTTGTTTTGCAACTGGCATTAAATATGTAACAGAGAAATGAGTCCCATGGGAGGTTTTTTTTTTTTTTTTTTGTTTTGTTTTGTTTTGTTTTGTCTGTTTGTTTGTCCATGCTGTGGGTATATCAGTATTACTAGTAAGAAAACAGTTTTATTTTATTTTATTTTGACACAGAATATCTCAATGAATCTTGAGTCTTGTCTATTAAGTACCCCCTTTTTAATATTTAAAGAATTCTCTTAAGGAGCATGTTGCATTCCTTCCTACTTCTTTCTTTCTTTTCTTTTCTTTCTTTCTTTCTTTCTTTCTTTCTTTCTTTCTTTCTTTCTTTCTTCTTTCTTATAGTAGACCTATTTCAGCTTTTTCTTTTCTTTTTTTTTTTAAATTTATTCACTTTGTATCCTAGCTGTAGACCCTTCCCACATCCCCTTCCAACTCACCCTTCCTCCCTCTTCTCCTCCAATGCTCCTCTCATAGTCCTCCTCCCCATGGACAGGGGAGATCCTCGTTGCCTTCCATCTGACCCTGGGCTATCAGGTCTCATCAGGACTGGCTGCATTGTCTTCCTCTGTGGCCTGGTAAAGGCGCTCTCCACTCAGGGTGAGGTAATCCAAGAGTCAGCCACTGACTTCATGTCAGAGACAGTCCCTGTTTCCATTACTAGGGTACCTACTTGCACACTGAGCTGCCATGGACTACATCTGAGCATCAGATGTAATCTACATCATTATCTCGATGAATGGTCCTTGGTTGGAATGTCAGCCTCAGAAAGACCCCTGTGCCCACATTTTTGGTTCTGTTGCTCTCCTTGTGGAGCTCCTGTCCCCTCTAAGTCTTTCACCTCCCCCTTCTTTCTGTCATCTTTGCTTTACTCTATTGTGGCATGAATTCAACCCAACCATTCTCTAGTACTGATTTTGCAAAGAAAATATAATAGATTCTATTACTTAAAATATTTAACACAATTCATAATGATTGGCAAATCTTTTCAGTTTTTTTTCACAATTTATTTATTATATATCCTGATTGAAGTCCTCTCCCTAAGCTCCTCCCAGTCCCACCTTCCCTTCCTTTTCCTCTCCCATCCCCTTCCCCTAGTTCATGGAAAGGGGGAGTTCTCCTCCTTTGCCATCTGCCCATAGCTTGTCAAGTCTCATTAGGACTGCTTGGATCCTCTTCCTCTGTGGCCTGGTAAGGCCTCATCACGAGAGGCAAGTGATCAAAGAGCTGGCAACTTAGTTCATGACAGAGGCAGCCCCTGCTCCCCTTACTAGGAAACCCACTTGGAAACAGAGCTGCCAATTGACTACATCTGAGCAGGGGGTCTAGGTCCTCACCGTGTATAATCCCTTGATTGGTAAATCTTCTACCACTAGCTTTTATGTATTCAATTGTTTGGGTTTCATAGGTCCTTCTTTTTATTTTTGCATTTTGTTCTACATTAAACCCCTTTTCTGTGTTATGTGTAATTTTCGTTTTCTACACATCCCTTATACACTGGTCATCTCTGAGACACTAGCTGAGACACTGTCCTCAGTTACTATATACTCTTTTGTAAGTTTTTTATTCTTCCTGATTCAACAAAAATTCATTTAATTCTTAATAATTTCCCAAACTCTTCATCAAAAGGTGAGACCTTTCTCCTTGCTTTTAGGTTCATTATCTAGAGGATGCCTCATCAATACACACACTTAACCCTCCTGGTACTGTACAGACATTTCTTACTCAGCTGATGGCTCTTCCTGTCTATCCATCCATCCATGCCAAGAGATTGTCTGTCCTTGTCCATAACTGCTAAACTTCAAATTCAAATCTGTCACTCGAAAGAGTCTACTGACTGTTTCTGAGCCTTTTTTCTCACCCTTCTCTGCTTGGTATTAAGCCTACTTCGACAACCCTAGTTCTAGCTCTAATTATTTCTCTTGAATTATTACAACTGGTTTCCTTGACTTTGTCTTTAGCACCTGAGGTACAAGTCACAGCATCCATTTACAATGTAAATGTGATCTGTCATAAAGTGTTACTGACAAGAATAATTGAGAAGTCTCCTGCTCAAAAACCAATAACTGATTTCCTATTAAGAGTTTCTGCCATATTGGCCTTTCCTCTCTTCCTACAGTGTCCTGATAATCATAGCACCCAGGAAACAATGTCAAATGGTCACAGCTTCTAGTCACCTTCCTCTACTCCTGAGGAAAACAATGTTTGCTTCTACAACTTCAAAGGCTGCCCTCTCCCCTCCCCATTCTGACTACCCTTAAATCTCGTCTTTGGTCTAGCTGAACAAATAAATTCATGCACAATGACTCCACTTCAATTTTTGGGTTTGTTTGTTTGTTTGTTTTAGCTTTATCACCTCCAGAATCATACTTTCTAGTCATCTGTTTTTTTTAAATACCATATTTCTTCTTTGCCCCCAAACCCCAAATTCTTGAAAGCCACATGCTTGGATTTTTCTTTTCTTAGAACTGTTTCCCCTAGCAGCAAGCATCCTGTTTAATAAATATTTAACTTAATTTACATAGCAGGATTTTTTAACTCTTTCTGCTATGTTTAAGAAATACAGTATTTCTAACAGAACCAGAGAATCAAGTGACAATGAATGTACTAAAAGTGTCCAGAAGTTGGTAGTGATTTTTTTAATGTGATCATTTGATAATAATACATAAAATTCATCAAATTATAAGTGTAAGTCACATACAGATTTTTTATAAACAGTAACAATTAAAAAATGTTTTGTTTTTTTTTCTGCCTGTTATTTAGCTTCAAATGTTCATTGGCTTTGAACAGGGTTAAACACAAATGTCATGTTTGGTTTTTCATGATCTTGCTATGGGAAAAAGACCAGGTTTCTTTGTGTTGAGCAGCAATGGTCAGGGTTCTGAGGGCCTCACGGGGCTCCACTTGGCAGTGCAAGCAAGCAGTAATTATAGATAGAAAGGGGAAGTGGTAGACAGAAATAGACAACTTGGTTATAGGGCCTGATATGAACATGCTGTGTAGTGGCAGCTCACGACTGGCTGAAGTGACCCGTTAATACTCTGCTGTTTGTACACGGGGTCGCTGTTCAGTGAGGATGCAGTTTGTTTACACACGAGTTAGATTAGAGGCAAGCACCTGTGGACGAGATTTAATTTCACATTTTTTAACCATGTTGCTTTCTCATTCCTCCGCCTGCTGTGAGTCTCTGCCAAATGAAAGCTTTGAATAAACAGCCTTTCGGTTCATATCGGTCTGTTCTTTTCTTTTCACCCTAATCTAGCCCCTTCCAGCTCCAAGATACCACACAGCTATGTAAATACAAGAATTGCATTTTACAATCGCGGAGGGTAGTCGGATCCAGTAGCAATATCAGAAAGAGTTCAGGTCTCCAAAGACACCTGTTAGAAAGTTAGGTCACAGTTACACTGAACTCAAGTGTAAGAAGTCAAAATATTTTTAATGATAACATAGTTAATGATAGTCATTAGGACAAGATCATTTAACCAACACTTGCTCTTCTATGCCCTGAAACAAAAGGAACAAAATCAGCACCAGACAAGATCAACATAGGCCATTACCAAGCTGTTTATTCTGTCTCAAACGAAATGTAACTCTGGCTTCTGAATGTCAGGGCCTCAAATCTAAGAGCCCATCTGTTTCACCTGAACTTCTCTTCCACAGTTTAACCCAACTACTCCAATCCTTATGCTGTGATCTGCGCATGAAATAAGAGCTGCCTTCTTCCCTCATTTCTTTTCTTCCTCTCTCCCCTTCTCTCTGCCACCTGCTCTCTAAAAACTTGTCACAAATACTAGAGACTCTGGAGTCGGAACTAGCCCAAATAAATATAAACAAGTGGCTAAAAACTGCAAATTTAAGGTTTCATCCAATACTGTTGTAGACATTTTAAATATGAAAGGAAACAATTTGTGTGAAGGCGTCTCAGACAAAGTCAGCGTCTTTGTTCTTATTCAAATCACTCTACTATCTCAGTGGAGTGTCATGGAGACCTAGAGCCTCAACTATTTGAAAGCTCACTACAGCTTCAGAAACAAAGAGGAACATTATTTTTCTTCTTTGTGTCTTTCTCTGTTTGTAATTGCCAAGAGTCCGTTTCAGAGAATGTTGACAGGTGTATTCAGAGAAACTTGAACAAAAGAAGTGAAGAGTCTGTGCTGTTCAGGATTAAATGTATGTACCTTCATATATGCCTTTCAATTAGAAGGCAGAGACAAAATATTAGTAAGACAATCATAAGAGTATTATTCTTGAGCTTTTATTTTGTAATAAATCTGCTTCCCATGTTCATATTCAAGAACTGCTTTCAAAATCTGTAAGTTT